CTGACTCATCTGCTTACCGCGGGAGTTCAAACTTGGGTCTGCATTTCAAAAGTTCAGGGGTACCAACTGGGCTACATGAGGACAATTATGATAGCAGGCGGCCGCATGGCCCTCTCTGGTCGGCCCCCGGAAGGTGCCACCGTGCCACTGCCCCGGACCTTCTGCACTCTCTGGAAAACTCTGCGGCACAACTTGAAGGCATGTGAACCACATGCTAGTTGAATCTCCGGCGGGTCAGCACACAGCATGGAGCATCTTTCTTGGGTTTCCTCAGTATTTATTTCTTCTCTATGGGCAGACAACAACAGGGAGGATCGATCCAAAGCAAGGGTGTTCACCTGCTGCAGGATTTGGTCCGCAACAGCTCGTGCTGGTGGTGATAAACTATCAGCACATCGGTCTGGCAAGGAAGAGGGAGATCCGTTTTCCTCCCCGGGCTGCCGTGTCTGTCGTTTGCCTGGCAAGGAAGAGGGAGATCCGTTTGCGGATAGGTGTATGACCAACACCACATGCGGTACATGCCAGTGCTAGGAGACGATGTGGAGGATGATGGCACTGGGGATAGATAGTCCACGCAGTAAAGACACGTACTTTCTATGACAGCTTCCTGGAAACACTGATGAGATATGACATGTTGCTGACATTTACTAATCCGTATGGAAGGGTGACGTGCACAGTTATTTAAGCATGCCAGATCAAGACCACAGCGGGATGCTGGGTAGGTAATCAGGGGGTGGGGCCACTGGGGGGGATGAGCGCAAGACAGAGGATCACAGTTTTCGTGGGAGAGGCTAGCAGAGACCATCCCTTCATAGTGTTCGGAGCAGAGGTTATGCCGTGTACATGCTAACTGAACTGTATCTGTGCAACGACACAAAGGGAGGGAACAGCCACAATCCTCTGGAGAGGTCCCTTCACTGTTTGTGGTAGAATCAACCGGATTGCTCTCCAAGGGGTGCAGTGCTTGCAAGTACTCATCGACATGATTATGATACTGTTCCTGATGGACAAGCCAGACTGCGTGATCCTCCACCATTTGGTGATAGAAAGATTTAATGATTCCGGTTGTGTGCACCCTACCGCCATTGTCCCAATAGGGTCCATAAATTATCCGCAATGGTAAGAGCACTGACTTGGACGATGTAAGATATATGCCCGAATATTCAGATCCATGCCTGGCACGTGGTTTTGTGGAGCAGGCTGGAATTGTAGTCGCCTACCTATAAATGCCATAGACATGATTTCTATGTTCACACCAGGTGCAGCACTGTTGTCCTCTGGGTAGACGGCATGGTGCTCTTCTTCTATCCAGCGGACAACGTCTCCGAAATCAAAAACAGTATAAGGGTTACAATTGCGAGTAAGGAGACATACATTAAATTAAATGGCATAGTACGCACAGCGGCCTCATTGTAGCGCTATGACATCGTCCAATTCCGCAGTGCACGGGAGATTCGTTCGCGGCAGAGGGAGATTCGTTGAATTCTGATTGCACAGGTGGCGGAGACTCATTGCAGTCTTGATCAACTGGCTGTAGTATGCAATCGGGGGAGAGATGATCTTCAATCGGGGGCTCCATCAGGTAATCAGAAGACGGGTCGTTGTCACTTGGGGCAGGGGAGCAAGCGGGGCTAGGTGGATGAGAGAGGGGCGGGCTGGGGGAGTGAGAACTGGGTGGACCGGATGCGGGAAGCGGATGCTGATCAGCTGCACTTGTGAAGTTGTGGTCATAGCGGTTCCTAGTCGTGCAAACGCTACACAAGTAGCTGCACCTCGTCTCTGGTGCACACGCAGGCCTGCAGCAGTGACGAAATCATCGCCACATTGCGGGCATCGGACTCGACATGTAGTATTCCTGGCTAACGTGTATTAAAGGCGACGATGTCGTTCTGAACGGTTGCAAGCATGCCGGCAGAGCATATCTATAATCCCTGCAAGAGGCGCGGTGATCATGCCGCTCAAGGATAAACGAGGCCGCTGTCTTGGAGTCCACGGTGGAGACGGAGAACGTCCCCGCCGAAGAGGCATCTGCAACGGTCGATCTAACGACGTATGCGTCCACTGACGGGGCCGTTGTCGTGGCTGATCCGACCATGAACGTGTGACAGTGATGATGATGCTGAGATCGATGACGAAGAGGAGGCTTGCAAAATGGCGGAAGGGGAAGAAGGAGAAGAGGAAGAGTAAGAAGTAGATGAGGCAGATGGCAGAGGGGTTGATGTAGTAGAAGATGTCGGCCGGGGGAATGTTGGCAATGATGGTTGTGGCAGTGATGAAGATGATGGTGATAGCGACGGTGGCAGCGGTGGTGGTGCTGGTGGAGGAGGAGGGGGGGTGGTGGAGATGATGATGGAGGTGCTGGTGGCAGCAATGGCGGCGGTGGAAACGGTATACTTTCAGCTACCGCCGCCGTATTGGTAGGATGCTGTGTGTGTGTGTGACGATGGCGCCTGGTTATGGAAGATCGCGAGGGCAATCGTGAGGAAGCAGGTGCACGAATATGGCCTTGAATGCACTTCTCACGATGATCGTGTGTGCTCATAACGAAAGAGAAAAAAGTGTATGTGTGCACTTCTCACGATGATCTTCCATTTGCAGTTTCGTATTTAGACCTGTATCCGGACTGAAATTTGTGCCATTATGCCATATGGCATATACACTTTTTTTGAAGTTTTTCTCTCTCGTTTCGAGCTATATCCGGACTGAAAGTTGTGCCATATACACTTTTTCTTTGTTCTTTTGTCCCGCTTCTCTTTCGTTTATAGTGTTCCGTTTGGATCTCCAAACGGAACACTATAAACAGAAATGTATATGACTGAAAGTTTCGCCATATACATTTTTTCCAAATTTTTCCTTACCGCCTGGACCAGGGCACCGAGTCCGGTTCAAGCTCAGGTCTCTATTTCAACAGACTGAGTTCACAGCTATGTACTTATATTCGGACATCGGCACCCGGAAATGACCGAAAAACTGGATACGCTGTGCAGAAAACGACAAACTTAAGCTGGAAACACGTCATGGGACAACTCTAAGTGGCACCGAATTTTGCTGGGCCCCTGGGAAGTTTCTTCCAAGAATCCAAGGCCCACTTCTGCCTGTAATAATTGTATATATAATAAATAATATAGAGAGATATAGATAGATATAGATAGATATAGATACGTCTATGGATAGATCCTGCTGCTCGGATTCCTGTGAACTCTGGGGATCGGCCTAAACTACAATCTGGAGCAGATCTTCTGCTGCTCCAGCCTGGTGCTGTGCCCCCCCATCCACTATTTGGTTTGGACTCTGGAGTCATTCCTGTGTCTGATTGTGTCTGGTGTTGCTGGGGGTGGGTCTGAGCAATCTGGCGCTTCTGAGTCCGTATAGAATAACTAGAGTTAAGCAGAATAGGGAGAACAGTCCGAGGCCCTCGGCAGCGTCCCAAGGGCGCTGCTATCAAGCCAAGCGCCCGCCCTAAGTGAAGGCAGGCCTGCATTTTTCCTGGCCGGCCTATTTTCGCCAATTCTGAGTTCTTGGGGGCTGCAGACAGTTTCTGGGCGGCAGTTGGTTACAGTCTTACAGAGGCCCCGGCCCCCGTGTGACCAGGGCCTGGATGCAAGCCAGGCAGCCTCCAAGTGTGTGACGTACACACCAGCTCTCAGCCGATGAGAAGGCTGCAAACAGGAGTGGCCACGTCGACGACGTCGTGCAGTTGGAATGGCCTAATTACTTCGGACCCAGGCCAAGATCTGAACTGGGCGTGGCCGCAGACACTTGGCCCGACGTGAAGCTACAGGGAACCTCGACCTCCTGAGCATCCAGGCTGGGGCGCACACGGGCACTAGTGGATGAGCGCTGATGCAGCCCTCGGAGTGCAGCCGTAGCCGGGCTGCTTCTCCCTGTTGCCAGTGAGGTTCGGTGGTGGTCCTTGGTGAGAGGGATAGCATGTGGGGGGACAGACAAGGGTGAGAGAGAGAGAGAGAGAGAGAGAGAGAGAGAGAGAGAGAGAGGACGTATCTGGTTGTGCCGTGGAGGTCTGCACGGCGTCTTCATATACTCTGGTGTGCTGCTGAAGTCTTCCAGTGTGCCATCATAGTGTAGGCTGGTATGGGTGTTGTGTGATCTTAGATTGGGCGCTGAGTGCCCGTAGGAGAAATATATTGGATACATTGTTGATGATGGCGAGATTGGGCTGACATTGAAAAGTGAGCTCATTGCTTTGGTCTCCTTTGGTGTGTAACTTGGTGCATTCTGCTTTCTGGACAGCGCACAACTATCTCGCTTTCACTGTGCTGTTGCAATTTGGATTTCTGTCATTCGCTCTTTGCTCATTTTCCTTGCAACGCGGTTAATCTCATAGAAAAGGGGTTTAACTTACTGTAAATTAGGCAGACAAGGGCAGAATGGG